TCTAAAAGTCCACAAAGTCCTAATTGCCATGTCAGCTACGGGGTGGTGAACCATAAAAACAAATTTATGAAAATTCATTTTTTCATAACAAATTCTTTGATTAAAACAGATGCCACAGAGAAAGATGAAACTTTTCTTGTCTCCTTTGGTGCTTAAAAAAGAAGGAAGCTGAAGTCAGAAGGCCCCAGGCTCCCCCCGACTGTCCCTGAGTTCCGACCCATCCCAGCAGGTCCATCTGGTTTCCCCCACTTCCTTTCCCTCTACCCTTCCTGACAGTCGCCCTGTGGTCTTCGGGCTACAGCACCAAACCCAGAAGCAACAACCTCGTTAGACTATTTAGCTTCCACAGCTGCGTGTGGTTGGGTGCTTAGAATACGTCCCTTATTATGTCTTCTGGAGTTTTTCTTCTCTAATCAGACCCTGACTGATACAGTCAGATTGAAAGAGCAGCCTCCTCCCTGTAAAGGCTGCGGATTAACCCATCAGACGGATGTAGCTTAGCTTACTAAGCCCCCGAAAGTCCCCCAGTAATGGACAAAATGAGTTGTTTCCAGGCCTCACCCTTTTAAGTGATGCTGCAATGAGCAGGGTGACATTTTTTCACATTTTTGCCAATTTATCTCTGAAACAGATCCCTAGAAGTAGACTATGGATCAAAGAGTAAACGGCCGTGTTATTTCTCATAGTTCTACTTTCCCCCAACATGTATATCTCCTGTTAGAAACCATGCACGTGACGACAGCAGGGTACTGTCCCTCAATATCCATCTCCCCTCACTGTGCAACCAAATGTTCAGTTAGGCGTTTAAGCTGAAGACCACTCTGCCCTCAGCCCCCTTGTGGCCAGGTGTGCCCAAGGCCAATAAGATGTGAAATTTAATATGTGCAATTTTCAAGTTAAAGAGAAAAATACTTTTTCCTTTCCTCCATCCCAGTAGCTAAAATATATACAGTATGTGCTAATGGGAGCTGGAGCAGCTGTCTGGGACCAGGAGCTGAAAACTATTTGCTGGAGACAGCACAGCAACCAGAAAGAAGGGCCCTCGAAGACAGAGGAGCCCCCACTCCAGCCCTGGACTGCTGACCGAGGCATTTCTATGAAAGAGAAATCTCCAAGTTGCATAAGGCATTACGGGTTTTATTGTCAGCCTAATATACCTAACTTTTTGGAATTGTGATTTGTGAACATACGTGTTTAAGACATCATCCCATTAAAAAAATATAAAAGCTCAAATGCATAGATTTTATAAAAAAAAAAAAATTACCACAGACCATCCAAAAACTATCTTTTCATATCCTTACTTGCCTGTTCAATTGAGCAAACATTATGGTTGACCCCTGAACACCAGTTTTCTCTGGGCAGGTCTAATTCTACTTGGATTTTTCTCAACCAAATGCAGATTGAAAAACAGCATATGCAGATTTTGGTGTACAAGGGAACCAATCTCCTGAGAAAACCAAGGGAATAGATTAGATAATTAACCTAATAATTGACTATTATGTAATGAGCATAACTTCCAATTAACACTTTTTTGAGACAGAGTCTCACTCTGTCCCCTTGGGTAGAGTGCAGTGGTGTCATCCTAATTCATAGCAATCTCAAAATCCTGGGCTTAAGCGATCCTCCCAAGCAGCTGGGACTACAGGCATGTACCACCACAGCTGGCTAATTTTCCTATTTTTAGTAGAGATGGGGTCTCAATCTTGCTCAGGCTGGTCTTAAACTCCTGAGTTCATACTATCCTCCCAGCTTGGTCTCCCAGAGTGCTAGGATTACAGGTATTAACGACCACACCTGACAACTCCCAATGATTTTAATAAATCTCAGGCTTGTACTATAGATTTATAATGATCCTACATCTATACCTATTACTCCATAAACTTTAGTCTCTAAATGAACACTTTTTTTAAACTTTTAGAAGTTTCTGTTTTGGTTCCCTCTATTTTAACTGTCCCCAAATGTCTGCTAAAAATTTAAGGATGGGGGCAGAAACCAATCCATTAAATTACTTTTCGTGGATCCTACAAGTCTTCCTGAGGTCACTACTTAGAAATTATCAGGCTGCTCTGGTCTTTGAAATGCATCCAAAGCATCTTCTTGTATCTGTCTGATTGAAAAACTTGCACAGGGCTCCTCAATCAAATGCTGTATCAAAAATGCACCATTATGTTTATATTTTTCCAAACACCTAAGTTTGGAGTTTACTCCATTAGTGTAAAGTAAATCTGAAACATTAGACAAGGCTACAGCACAGCGGGCTGAACACAGGCGGCTATTACAGAATCACAGCATCCAGAGCCAAAAATTAACAAAATGTGATCATTTGCAAGATACTGATTTGCACCAGAGGTCAAGGTAAGGAAACCACGGGTCAAAAGCACTCTGTGCACGTAAGGACTAAGTAAAATAAGTGGAGACAGACGACATCAGTTACTACTTCAGAACTGACCTTGGGCAGCAGTCCTCAAACTTCAGCACAGGTCAGAATCTCCGGAAGGGCTACTGAGACAAAGAGGGCTGGGCCTGCTCTCAGACCAGCTCACTCAGCAGGTCCTAGGTGAGGCCTGACGATTTGCATTTCTAATAAGCTAACAGGTGATGTTTATTCTGCTGGCCCAGGGATGAACTTTGATAACCACGTAGAGAACTCTAATTTGAAGAGTAGGTGGCTGGCTCCCTCTTTCCCTCCCTCTGCAGAGAAGCGCTCCACATGTGAAAAAAGTGGCACCTGTGCGATCTCTACTGAGCAAGGGGGAGTCTGAAAGGGATTCAGTGAGAGTCCTGGAAAGGGCACTTAATCAATCCCCAGGAAACTTCTGAAAGCCTTCAGAACTCAGCAGAGTCTTTCACATTCTCTCCCAGGGACAAGCCTAGAACAAATTTCTCCAGCTCTTTCTCTCTTTTTTTTTTTTTTTTTGAGACAGAGCCTCAAGCTGTCCCCCTGGGTAGAGTGCCATGGCATCACAGCTCACAGCAACCTCCAACTCCTGGGCTCAAGCGAGTCTCCTGCCTCAGCCTCCCAAGTAGCTGGGACCACAGGCACCTGCCACAATGCCCAGCTATTTTTTTTGGTTGCAGTCGTCATTGTTGTTTTGGCGGGCCTGGGCTGGATCCAAACCCGCCACCTTAGGTGTATGTAGCTGGCGCCTTAGCCACTTGAGCCACAGTGCCGAGCCCCAGCTCTTTCTCTTAGCTAGACTCCTGTAACATTAAGTATCTCCCTGGCCAATCATGATTTCAAATTTTACAGCAAAGCGAATATTACTATTTCAAATGTTTCTTATTCAGTCTTCATGTATTAAATACTGAAAAATCTCTGAATTGGGTGGCTCACATTACAAATATAACACCCGTAGTACACACAAACTGATAGAAACCATTTTCACCTACTCAATGATGTCTTCCTGCTCACCTCAAGATTTTAAATTTACATTTTTTGTTCTATAATGGGATACAGATTGTAACATATTCCATGAAAAATTTAGAGAGTCAATTTAAAACCCGTTTTAAGCTCACTCTTAAAGCTTAATTGGAATTCTGATAAATTTCCAATTAAAGTATAAAATGACACAACCCCTTTGAAAAACTCACCAAAAGCAGAATAGCATAGACTGTGATATATTCATACGATGATTATTTATACAACAAAATGCTACGAATTCAATAATACTGTACACGCCTCAGATTTTCAGTTGTTCTCTTCCCCATTGCCAAGAAGTAGTTCCAGAAACATAGTAGCAATATCCTAATGCTATTCACAAGACATTACCTTGGTAAAGAGGTGAAGGAGGGAAGTTGCTTTTCTTAGCATTAAAAAGTAGAATACTTAGAATAATAACAAGCTACTTAGTAATAACAACAATAAGCAATGAATATTCACATAGTTAATGATAATGTTCACTACTTAGTAGTAATGTTCTAACATTGTATATAGTTGCACATTACTGTAACAGAAATGAACACTGAATATTCATACAATAGAATATTGAGTACTATTAGCAATGAAAAAGGAATAAAGTACTGATACAAGTAACAACATATATGAATCAACATGAGGTTTGGCCAAAGGTAAACAAAAAATTTATACTGTCTGATTCCAGTTAATTAAGCACAAAACACATACAACTAATCTGACCACAATCAGAGTGGCTACGTGTGTTGGGGAGAGTGGATAGCAGAGGGAAGGGAGACGGTGCTCCCGGGACAGTTAGAATGTCCTGCACCTTGTCTATTTTTTCTTTTTTTTGCAGTTTTTGGCCAGGGCCGGGTTTGAACCTGCCACCACCAGTACCTTGTTTTACACAATGCTTACACGGACATATACAGGGTCATCCAAAACCCACAGTGGATACTTAACTCTTGCATTTTATTGTACATAAATGATATCACAATAAAAATGTGTTTTTTAATTTAACCATAAGGAATAGAGTGAAGCAACATTTGTTGAAGCAATGTTTCTGGAAATCAAAATAAAATATACCTCAAAACAAAACATTCACTACTTCAAATTTTCATTATAGCCTAGAAAAAAAGCAACCACAGATGTATGTTTATAGAATCGTGATTCTGAGCTAAGAGGAATGACTAGACATCTCAGGCGACTTTAGACAGTCTTCTGGAGTGGGTGTGAGGGTGCAGAGTAATTGTGAACACGGCCTCTGTCGTGATCAAAGGCATCCTGATTTATGTGACCACCTTTATTACCACTTTAGCTAACAGGGAACCTTCGTACTATTCAGTAAATGAGCTCTGTGACTGCTTCATTCACTAAGCACATTTCCTGAACACACACCACGTTTCTAAACATAGTGCCTTGGTTCTTGCTGCCCCCAGATGGACTTTGTCCAAACGCGAAACGTGTACCCAAAGACACTAAGTCTAGATGAGAATCAGAATTTTGTCTACCAAGAAAATACATGATTTTTATATAAAAAGATATGAGTTTTTTGAGCAGTAAAAAATACATAAAGATATTTGCCAATACAAATGAAAATATTTACCTGCTGCCCTGTAAAGTATTTTAGGTTCAAAAAATATACAAGGATTTTTGTCCTCTATGCACGACAAAAGAAGGCCCTTGGCCTGGAAAGGGCTTCTGGGTATAACCACCTGCAAAAACAGATTTTTTAAAAGGACAGTTTTAGTAAAAATATACCCCAGTAAACACACAAGAAGGATTGATATATAAACTACCAATTGTTACTAACTGAAAATAGTAACCTGGCATTTATTTGAGCCTAATTACCATTTATATTATTTATATACCATCCCCCCAAACATCCTTTTATTTGATAATATTTATCAAATGCCTACCACATGTTGATAACCAAGCTACTGGTCTCTTAAGGAGCTAACTTTGCCTATAAAAAGAAAAGGAAACTGCAAAAAGCATTCAAAGCAAAAGCGTAAAACTGTCAAGATCTACTTGATTTACCTGTAAAGAAAGAACTCTAATACTCTGCCACTTTCAGAATGCACTCAGCTCTTATCCGGTTTTAACATGCCAAAATCACCTTCTATCCATGAGAAAATAAGTCTTCATTTATTAAGTGGAAACATAACCCCTGAATTGTATAATCCGATCACTGTGATGTCCAAAAGGAGGGCATGGCTACTCAACACCCTGCTGGACAGGAAAGGGCTCCAGGACCTTTCTGAGGATGAGGGTGACAGTGAGGAAGATAATGACAGTGACAGCAGGAAGTGCAGGTGTTAACCTGGCCAAGCACTCTGTGTGGATCACCTCATTTACTACTCATCCCAGTCCCACTCGGTCGCTATTATTAACTGCCCCAAGTTAGAAAGAGACTGGGGCTTAGAGGGTTCAAGTGGCTAGGGTCACATTGCTTACCAGACCAGGGATTCTCACCCAGTTCTAATACTGAAGCCTAAACTCTCAACTTCTGTACCATGTTGCCTCAAACCAAACTGGGGCCCGACTGTTAATGATTATAAAATAACTGTATGAGGAGAAATATTACATAGAGTTATTAAAATAAACATAATTTATCAGAGGCTCAAATAGGATTTCTTGAGGCAAACTACACTAGCCATTTTTATTAACGGGTTTTTATTAAAATAAAATAGCAGCACAAATGTCACTATTTTCTGTAAATAGACTTCTGAACACACAATGTCTTTATCTTATGTTCTCACTTTAGTTTCTCCTTATCTGCTTTCTCCATATATTTATTTTTAGCCTTTTGTACTTTCAGTATTTTCATTTGAGCAGGAAAAAAAAGCAGAGTAGGGAAAGCGGAGTGAGAAAGAGAAGGGAGGATGAAGAGTAAAGTTCTGTTCCTAAAAACACTGAGTGATGTTATGAACATTAAATGTGTTTCTGTCCC